ACTTCCTTAAAAATGGGTCAGAAGGAAAGCGTGGTCATTTTAATAACTAACTTGAAATGTATTAATAACACTAGCCTGTCACAAGGGATCCACTTTTTCAATATAAGGAAGATGGAGTTTGTATGTGGAGGGCAAGGAACCAAAAGGGACCATGTAAGATACTGCAGAAAGAGATGACCGTATCATGGATGAGACCTTCAGGACATAGAAGGAAACAGGATCCAGTGCACAGAGGGAGAAGTTAACTCGGGAAAGGAACAGGGGCATTTATGTTTCCAAGGCAAAGCAAAAGACGTAAGGACAGAAGTAATAAATAAATGTCTAGAGGAAGAGGACGGAGAAGATAATAGAGATGACATCTTCCTCATACATCTATCTCTTTAGCTTCTGTTTTCTCTGTGTGGTGTGAAAGAATTGCTGAAATCGGGGGGTACCCGGGTAGCCTAGAGAAGTTGGCAGGACTTGCAAAAGTTTGGAACACCTGTCTCGGAACATAGGAAAGGGAGTCAACACGCAAATTTGGCAAGCAAAGAGATTGTTGAGCCGTGCTGAAGGCCCAGCTGAGACTAGAGACGGTGAATGTGTAGTTTTGTGAGTTTTCTCCAGGAATGCTCAGCGATCCGAGTAGAAAATAGGACAGATTATCCTGAAATAGGGGAGGTAAAAGGTGGGGGGGGGGCAGTGGAAGGGCAGCGAGGACGGTCGTGTGTATTGGGTGATGGTGAGAAATGCGATGAGTGGCATAGGGGTCAGACTATCAGATCAGGAAGGAAAAGAAGTAGAGATGGCAAGTTTTCTGAACTTCCTAGGATTTCTGAACTGTAAAATTTTAGAAACTGGTGTGTCCCTGGGCCCGAGGACAATGGAAAACAAGAGGCCAAGGAACGAGGAGGCCGGACTGTTATTCAGCCATCGGCAAAAATAATGAAGTCTCTAGAAACCGGCAAGATTAAAACTGGACAACAAGAAAGGGCCAGGTGCCGAAAATTTCAACGAAGGTGTAGGCATTAAGAGACCAGAAAATGTTGAAAAGGGGTGTGCATCAGTGAAAACTTCTTTAAATAAAAGCAGAAGAGACATGTTCTAGTGTGCTGGAAATTCATGTCCAAAAGAACTTTCTGCAGTGACGAGGACAGTCTATACCTGCACTGTCCAACAGGGGGTCACGGGGCACCGGTGGTTGTCCAGCAGCTAAAATACGGTCTGTGAGACTGAAGGACTGAATTTATAGTTTTATTCACTGTCAACCAGTTTGCATGTAAATAGCCACGCGTGGCTGGGGCTGTCATCCTGTGCCGTCCTGCAGGCTGTTCGATAACTGTCAACAAATTTAGGCTTAGTTATTAATAGGCAGTGACAAAAATAAGTCGCCCCTCTTAGTGGATGTTTGCATTTAAAGGAGACGAGAACTAACATTAGAGAAGGAAATTCCTCAATGTAGAATCTCGAGTGCTGCAGAAAACCACGAAGGCGACTCATTTGGGGGCCCAGAGGCCTTTCTAGTGCTTCTCAAATTAGATCATGTAAGTGGTCATCTATGAATAAAGTTTACCCTAATTAATAAGATTGGCTTTATTAAATGCCCACTGTAGATGCGATATCGTAAACCTTTTATTGATTTTTGAGAGAGCGCAAGCAGGGGAAGGGCACAGAGGGAGGGAGACAGGGGATCTAAACCTAAATCAGCTCTGCGCTGACAGCAACAAGCCTGATGTGGGGCTCGACCTTAGCCACAGTTGGAGGCTCAACCCACTGAGCCACCCAGGCGCCCCCAGATGGCATAGTCTTAAACACAGTTGAAACGAAGAAGAATTAGGATGAAGTAGAGATACTGGGTACAGGGAGAAAAAAAAAAAAACAACAACATAATTAAGATTCTACCTCACGTGCTTCGTGTTTGAACCCCTGCTTTTACTCTATCATTTGTGGATGACAATGTCAGAAATAACTGCCAAGGGGTAGTTGTGTGTGAGCATTAGGTGAAATCGGCTAGCGACTGGCCAAATGATGGTGCGGCTTAACCTCTTGGTTGGTTTCAGTGTTCCTTGTTGAAAAAGGAGATTACTAGGCTGTTTTGCAGCAATGTTCTCAGCATATGGGGTTTCTGAGATTCAAGAGTGTACAAGTTGTAGATTAAGTGACATAAGTATCCTGGAACAGGGACAAATAAACAATAATAATAAAGAAAAACAGCTTTGTGCAAAAATTTAAAATGCTTAATATCCATGTGCTTCGCAATAATCAAATAGGATTAACAGATCATTACATTAATGCGTAACGTTAATGTACGTTATTATATTACGATGGTATATCTTATCACTGTATCTTATTAACTCCAACTTATGGTCAAGTTTTCCTCATTTGCTCATGGCTATCTAGGCTCCTAGTGGTACCAATTCACTATTTCTTCCACTAGACAACACTGATCTTCAGCAGATGTTCTACCAAAAAAGTCTCAATACAAGCGTTGTACACCCCCATTTTGGGAGGGGTTCCGCTGCTCTAAGAGTAGGGTGGTAAGAGGTTCTTTAATGATGCTGGCCAAATGGTCTGAAGCTTCTGGAGCCATTATAGCTTGGGACCTATTTGCCTGCAGGCTCAGAAAGCAGCCACTTTCTTCGGTCTCAGGCCTTGAGCAATTTAATAAGAGTAGCTGAAGACATTTAATGTTGGTTTCGGATAATCTCTCTCTCTCAAATTTCGTTTTGATTGTTGTGTTTCCTTTCAGTGGAGAGAAATACCGTTTACTTGAAGGCAATAAATGGACTGGTAAAATAACTGAGGATTCATGGAGGCTTCAGATTCTTTTTTAGATTTAGGTACTGACCAGCTACATGCAGAAATATTCTCAAATCATTCAATTCCAAATGGTAGTGCCCATCTAACACGGTTTTAGAATTTACTTGCCAGAGGAGAAATCTACTACCTGGAAACCCCGGTGGGGGAGATCCCCACAGTGCTTAAACCTTTAATGGATCAGTCCAACGTCATATCAGAGATGTTAGGTTTTTAAGGTTTTACTTGTACGGTTGAAGAAATAAACATCGTTTTTCCCAGGTAGCCTTGAAAGCACAAAGAAATATTTCTTACTCCATTGCCTTAAATTAATCTAGAAAAATGTCAGTTTCTCCTCTCTCCTCGCATGAATTCATACAGCACCAAAGCCTGTCATGTTATTATCTGAAAATGTCATCATCAACCGTGACAGCTCCAGATATAGATCCCTCAGGAAAGCACAGGAAGGGTTAATAACCTTCTCTAGATCATGCAGAGAGAAAAACACTGTCAGTGCTGGCTTAAGCACCCCAGATCCTACCTTGACATTGCAATCATAAGCCTTATCCACCTTCGGAATTTCAGGACTTACCTTGGGCTTGTTGCTGTAGATGATATTTTATTACCTCCCCAGGAGGATTAGAAGAACATATTTAAGGAATAAAATGTTTAATTAAATATTCTAGAACCCACCTCCCGACAACATAGAAAAAACTATTTAATTCTCACCCCCTCACCCCCTGGAGGGGGGGGGGTGAGGTGTGTGTGTGTGTGTGTGTGTGTGTGATTGTCAGAATGGTTGATATGTAGATACACCTCTCCATCAAAATTTAAACTCTAGAACCCAGGTGTCCTTCTGCACCCTTGTGGGTGAGGTCACGAGGGTCTGCAGGCTGGGAAGCTCAGAGGTTGCTCACTGCGCAGTGTCTCTCCCCCAACCCCAATCATTTCAGCTAAGTGCTACTTCGCCCTACAGAAGGTTCCCTCGGTTAGCCTGCCTGAAAGGTATGTGGTGAGGGGCATAGGCCCTTAGTGGCTCAGCAGTCAGAGGTTCCTTGGGTAGGGCTCGTGATGGTAAACATTAATGAAGCTGCACGGTACTGGCTCCGATTCTTGACCAAATTAGATACCAAGTATCAAATGTCGCCCGCTGAATCTGAGTGGAGGAGTGCTGTCGCTTCAAATAAAGGGGTCTTGAACACAATACAAAATGTTGGTCACCTCCGGTCGCGTACTACCCAACGGGAAGCCAAAGGCAAAGGGCACGGCGCAAAAAAAAAAAAAAAAAAAAGAGAGAAAAGAAAAGAAACAGACACACAGACACGTTTTGCAATGACGAACTTTATGTGGCTTCAGGAACGGCAACCTGTTCTTACGTTTAGCAATCCCGCGGTACACTGTTAAGACTGGAGACTTTTCCGCGATCCTCTTCAAAATATAGTGACTTAGGTAAACTCATAAAAAGGCTCGCCGAATGCCCTTATGCTCTCCTCTTAAACTTACGTGACCATCAGCAGCGCTGTTCAAATTCAGCCCACAGCTGTTAGACCCAGACACAGATCCGCAGTGTTCCTGTCCCCAGAGTTACCGGTGTTCCCTGAGACCCTCCGAGAATCAGGGTCGGTTTTCAATGAGCACGTCAGAGAGGATCCTTCGCCCCACGCTGCTCCCACTGTCCCAAGCCCTGTGCCCCCCTCCCACTTTCCTGAAATCGGCTTTCTTAAAAACGGAGCCCGTATCCCCAATTTAGTTGCACCTTCCGCAGCCCGAACCTCTGCCCAGAGACACCCACGTTCCCTCTCCCCCCGCCCCTCCACTTCTTGAGACCCCACGCCCGCCTCCCGTTTCTCTCTCAGCAACCCGGGCGCTGGATTCTCGAGACCACCCTCCCCACCTCCGCCCAGCGCCTCCATCTCAAGTCCTCCCCCCTCCCCGCCCCCCCCCCCCCCGGCTTCCCAACCTCCTTTGAGGCTTCAGTGCCCCTCCCGTGGAGCTACGACACCCCCCCCACGCCTCCTCCCAGAGACCCCCAAGCTCTCCTCGAGCTGCGCGTTCAGAGTCCCTCCCTACCCCCCGCCCCCGCCCCCCGCCCCCCACCTCCCGCTCGGGCCAGCGCAGTTCTGCAAGCTGCAACCATCCGGGACTTGTCCCCGCTCCCCACCCCATCCCCCCCGCCTGAACCGTTAGGGTCTCGGCTAGCAATGCCGCCCAGGGCTCCAACTTACCACAAGCGTCCGGGAGGAAGACGAGGCAACGGTCGCCGCGGCGGCAGCTAGACGAGAAACGGACCCGGCTGCAATCGCCCAGCGGAGCCCGCGGCAGTCGATGCGCTGCGCTGCGCTGCGCGCCGCAATCTCGCGCCTCGGCGGAGGGAGGGATGGAGGGAGCTCGGCGCGATAGTGAGCACCGGCGAGTCGACCTCCTCTGGGCGACCGTGCGCCCCCGGACAGGTTTGGCTGGTCTTGCTCCACTATCTTACTCTAGCTTAGTAACTGACCACCTCCAGCATCTCTGCACTATTCGCGTCTTCTTTCTTCTTCGGTGGCCCCTAACTAACTACACTACTCTAAACGGACGAAGGCCATCACGCGAGCGCCACGCCGATCTCGACGACTCCGACGACAGCGGCGTCCAAGAGGGAGGAAAAGTTCGTATGCGATCGCAGGTAAGGGGCGGCAGGCCGATGGAGCAGCCAAGGTTGGCGATCTAGCTGCTCCAAAGGCAAGATCGGAAAGATCGGTGCGCCCGAGGCTGCGAGCTTCCTCGGCGAGCACCAGAGCGCCTACCCCGCGCTGGCGGTGCTGCACCGCTCTCTTGGGCCAAAACCGGAGGAGGGGTGGAGCCAAGAGCGGCCAATCAGCGCTCAGCATTGCACTGCCCCCGGCCTGTTTGGACCTAGTCTTAGTGCATCTGGAACCTGCTGGCAGGGGGCGCGAGACCCCGTGGTGGTGGTGGTGGTGGCGGTGGTGGCGGTGGTGGCGGCGGTGGTGATTAACTTGATTTATGAGGCCTGGAGTCTGGGGGGAACCGAGGTCAGTCATGCGGTGGGGGTGTCTCAAGAATGCACCCTTAAAGATTCACAGAACGCCTTCCCAAACACACACACACACACACACACACACGCACACACACACACCTTAACATTTCAGAAGTCTTAGAAGTTCCACCAAGCTTTGAAACTCCCTCTGACGTTCTGTCTCCAACTCCTAACCCCTTTCCACAACAGGAACAAGCGAGGCATTCACAAGGTCAAACATATTTAGTGAGCAAAGGCCGTGGCTCTAAGGCCCTTTACCACAACATACTCCCCCCCCCACCCCCCACCCCTCCTTGAACCTAGCCCCAAATGCCGAGAAAGGAGAAAGGAAACCTCTTTGCCTTCATGCCCCGAGAGGGCACAATTTGGTTTCCTTCTTGACCCCACAGGCCCCCCTAGGTGCTTGGAAAGACACCCCGGGGGCAGCTCTTTTGCGTTTCTGCGGTGGAGCTGTACCTATTTCTCTGGGACAGAGCCTGAGGCCCAAGGCCAGTTGGCGCCCCAGCCGCCGTGAGGGCTGCCTTGACATGGTCAAGACAGCAGGGTAAGAACTGAACCACAAATCTCCCTTTTGGCAACTAACGGGATGCCGAGCTGCAGCCCTGTAAGCAGAGCACTCCCCCCCCCCCCCCCGCCGGACTCCCCGGCTCCCGGCAGGTGCCTGCGGTGTCCTGGCCGCCCCGCAGAGAGCGGTGGTCGGAGCCACCTGGGCCAAGACGCTTCGGAGGCAGCAAAGACCAAACTTAGTAGTGGAGAAGATCCCACCGGGAAGGGGGCCAAAGCAGATTCCTTCTAAGGAGGAATGGGAATTGAGGGGTGTGTGTCTCCGGTCCTGGTCGAGGCTCCGCCGCAATGTACCGAGGGCCGCGGGAGAAGTGGGGATTGGCTCCTTGCCGGTCCCAGGAGCCGCACCGAAGAAAGAGATCGAGACTCCGGTTCGGCTACTTGGGACCCGACCGCAGAGCGGCGATGATACAAACAGGCTACATACACCGGCGGCCGTAGGGCAGCTGGGGGGGGGGGGGGGGGGGAACGGACCCCAGGGAGCGCAGAGGGAAGGGAGCGGCTGGCCTCCCTGGGGATCGTTTGCCTCAGTAGCACCAAAACTTCGGGGTGGGGAAGGAGGTGGGAGCAATGATAAGAAGTGGGTCCTTTCCTTCTTTCGGGTCACTTCCGTCTGTGCCTCAGTTTCCCGATTCACAAAGGGAACTCTTTGGTCTATTCCAACAGGGGCTTGCGGGAATCCTAGGATTTCCCCCGTCTTCACTGAACTCAGACAGTTTGCAGGGTTCTGACATTTCATTTGGCAGCGAGCATACTGTCCACACCCAAGTTCTCCTTCGCAAAGCAAAAACCCATCGCAGTGTTCTTGGAGCATCTGTTGAATGCTACTGCATGGTGCCGCACAGGTGGCGGCGACCGCGCTGCGAAGTCCGCGGGCTGCACAACGTTCGCATGTTTAGCAAGGCTTTGTTCGCGAACGGTAATTTGTAAATATCGAAGAGCAAACGTATGTCTTCCTTCTAACTTAATGAAGCACCCGTCTTTCAAAATTCCCCAAGTGTCCTCTTTCTCTGTCCCCGCGGGCACAGAATGCTTGGTCCCGGCTTCTCTGGCGGGACTGCCTTATTTTGTGGGAGGCCGAGACGTGAGTTCTACTTTTAAAAATGTAAATATAAATGCCTGTGATACACTCGCTAAGGGCAAGATGGACTCTGCCGAGCCGAGAGCCCTGAGCGAGCGTCCGCCAATGCCGAAGCGAAGCCGGGGACCTTTTGGAGCTGCCTGGCTCCCTGGGGGAACCAGGCTGAGAGCCGCTGACCACGGTCAGGACAATGATGAGGCTGGGCGTGAGGATGCATCGGTTATTATTACTATTATTACGATTATTACTATTACTACTACTCCTACCCATCTCGCTCTCTAGGCTGTTCTCGCCTTCTCCCCGAGACCGGCACCGGTGCCGAGAAGGACCCGGGGTGAAGCCCGTTCGGGGATGGGGAAGGTTCCCGGTGCCGCACAGAGTTAGCTCACCAGGCGGCGGGCTGAAGCGCGCCTTGGGCTTCCAAATTCGAGTGCGCACCGGCAGGCAAATTTGCCCTTGAGCGGCGCTCGCCGGGTGGCCGCGAGCGGGGAAGGCCGAGCCCGAGCCGGGGACGCAGCCGGGCTCGGGGCGCGGGGTTCAGCCAGGAGCGCCAGCCCCGCTTTCCCGGCACAGGAGGCGCGTACCGCCCTTTTGGCTTCTCTAGGCGGCGGCCTGGCCCAGCGCTAGCGGGGCCGACGGGCTTTGGTGGGTTTGGCAACCCTAGCCCGGAGAGTAGAGTGCAAGGAGTAATTTAGGGCTCACTTTAAGATCGGGGGGGGGGGGGGGGGGAACAACACCAAACCAGCACCCCCTGGCGCGCCCTTCCGTCGCCGGAGAGGTTTTCTCCCAACTCCTGCCTAAAATCGTCCTGGGGAATCGGCCCGAGGATTTTCACGGCTTTCCCTTCCCTTCCTTAGGTCTATGGAAGTTGTCCCGGAAAAGAGGAGTCATGTACTGTGAAATTCTCGGCTTTGATGCAAATCCCCAGCTGTCCCCGGAACAGTTTCCAAAAACTTGCCCCCTTTTCTAAGGACATAGACTTGCCTTTGCAACTTTCACACCAGGGGGATTCCCCCCCACCTCAACTATCTACCTTTCCAAAACTCCAGACTTAAAAATCCAGGAAAGATTTAAGGAAGATTGTTACCAACTAGGTAAAAATCGCTCATTTAAGACTTGGGGAACGTTCTTATAAACAATAGTAACCGACTGGAATAATTTACTTCCTTCCTCATTACGGTTTTTCCTCTTGACCAGAGAACCCTATTATAACAAAACTAAAAGATTATAGACACATATGACTATGATTGATTTAATAATGAGTGACTGGTTTCTTGAAAAATACTCCAAGGCAGATATTTTTGCAGAGCAAAGGAAGCTACACAAAAATTCTACCTTGAGATTTTTACCACAGGACACAAATACAAGACATATTGACATTCCTTCCATCCATATATATATATTTTTTAGGTTTAAAGGAAATCTTGACAGTTAGAAGGATTTGGGGGGTAATTAAACAATTGTATCAAATAATACTTTCAGCATTTCATATTTTTGCTTAACTGGGAAAACCCAGGATGATATCCATAATGTCCATCCTTGAGATAAACTTTCACGGTCTTTTACACACTAAATTTCTCTTTTACTGTTCCTCAAGCAGGGTCATCGAATAAGAAAAAAAAAAAATCTTAGATACAGATGGCTCATTATACACAAAATCTTTTCAAAGTTGGTAGGATTATTTTTAATGAAGACGAAGGCAGTTGAACTCTATGTGCTGTGTACGAAGGCAGGGGGCAGTCTCTGATCATGTCAGTCTTTCTCTGAGTGCAACTTGTTTTTGGAAAGATCCCCGTTTGAGCGAAAAACAACAGTCAACTCTGCTTCTCTGATCCTCTCATCGATGGTTGGAGGAAGAGACTAAAAACCTTTGGGGGAGGATTTGGAAGGTCCCGTCTACGTATTTTTGCCACTTCTCAGAATAAAAAGGTATATCAAGATTAGGAATCTGGCCTTCTGATTATTTTTTAAACAAATGTCACCGAATTCATTTAATTGTATCTGACATTCTTGTAGTTGTGACTTCTAGTAATCAACTATCTAATGAAAAAAAAAAAAAAAACCAACCAATATACCCATAAGTTTGAGGGGAGAAGGGCATATAATCTAGTAGCCTCACCAAGGAGGAGAGAGAGCAAGCTACTTAGACGTCAGTTCTTTAGAGAAACATTCAGGCTACGATGAATGCATTTTATAATATGGGCATGCGTTTCGCTCTTCCCGCACAGAATGAGAAAGATGACGATTAGGACCTTTTGTTTAAATTAAGCCAAGATTGAAAGGCCAGGGCAACAATGAGTTTTCTTTCATTCCTAGCCCTGAGCTAGCAGTCTGGTTCTGTCTACACCTTATTCTGACTCTTTCAGACCCCTCTGATCTGTACTGTGCATTCCTGCGGTAATGAGGGCTTTCACCAGGCATCAGAATATTTGCTTGTTTGAGAGTCATCTCCGGAAGTTCACGGGCCTGGTTCCCCTGGTCTGTAAGTCAACATTATTGCATTATTTCCACTATTTTCTTCTTTTCTTTTTGTAGGAACCATCTCTTCCACCAAATTAGAAGTACCTCGGGGACAACGGTTTAGTCCTAGTCTTTTCTTCCTCTACTTTGTTCGACTTATCCTAATACGGGGCACCAAGAATGTAAATAA